CACACATATACATATACATGGCGGGGAGCGGAATAAACATCAAAGAATTATGGTGATTCTATGATTCATGTGTAAAGATCCCACACCGGTCAAGTATGGGCTTGGCCGGTGGCTTATAAGCAAGGTGTTCCCTCCTCCTAATCGGCTGGTCTTTTAAGAGTGAGTTCTACACTTGGGCTTATGGCACTGCTATGGGCCTAGTATGGGCTGGGTCCGTAACATCATGTAATAGTATGCATTTAAATTTTGGTTATAAAAGTACACATCCATGGAGTGGTACCCCCTTGAAACCTTTAAAACAACATGCACGCACATGATATATCAAGGAAACGAGTGATAAAGTGAAGAAGAAAACGTACAGCATAGAACTTCTCATTTGGATCCATATCAGGAAGTGGATCTTCACGCATAGATCGGGTTTTGGGGTCATAGTGAGCCGAATTGACATCAAGGTTAAGAAGATATTTGGCTGTATCTTCTCGGATACGTAGATTTCTGGGGAAAAAAAAGGATTAGGTTTGAAAATTGAAATGTTCAGTATGTTAGAGAAGATGCACATAAGGCGGTGATAAACAGAAACAGGGCTCACCTAACTGTCCCGGTACTACCACCACCTGTAGTTCGCACACGCTTTTCAACCTTTGCGAAATCCATCTGCTTACTTTCATCAACCTTTGTTTCATCGACCTTCAAAGCATCTTCCAAATCCTCATCATCACTAGCATCACCTTCTTTGTTTTCATTATTGTTTTTCTCCTCCAATTTTTTAAGCTGTTGTTCCTTCATATATTTCCTTCTAGCTTCATCCCTGGCTTCATACCTTTCAATAACATGGACAAAGGATGCAGCATCAAACCCATTCCAGCGGTCTCTTTTACCATCATAGTCTAGCTCAAAGTTCTCTATTTTCTCATCTGGTGCAATACTTTTCCCTGTCCACTTTGCTCCTAACTTACGAGGCCTTTCCATACACGATTTTACAGTGTGTGTCATTGCTCCACAACTGCAGCATGTTTAGTTAAAATTAGCCATGGCCCATGGGTAAGTTTTATTATGCTAACACTGAGGACAGGTATAACAGGGATCCAAATAAGCAAATCCAGCAACGAATAATTACATCAACAGAAAATCACAGTAAGCCAAGAAACTTTTGGAATAACAAAACTAAAATGAAAGAATTCACAGCTCAAACTTACTTTTCACATGCGCCTTTTCTGTACTTGTCAGCCTGATATATCTTGGCACCTCTGTCATACCATGATTTGGTATAATTAGGATCAGATTTCCATTTCCTTTGATGCTTCAAGCTCTACAAAACATTAAAAAACAAATGTATGCATATTATAAGTTATAACCAATCCATAACAATGAGTGCATATATCTAGGAGAAAAAGTAAGGATATAAGAAAACATACAGGTTTCTCGGCATTGAGATACCAAGGTGCTGAGGACATATACTGTGGAATGTGAGGGTTAATTTCATTTCCATCTTCATCAACCTCAGCAGGAGCAAGCCCAGCCTTTCGTGCTTCTTCCAATTCTAACTGTTTCCTATGATCCTCCCTAGATTTGAATGCCACTGCGTTTACCCATATATTGTTATTAATTATCGATACCACATAAAATGGGTATTATGAATCATTTATTGGGCTATATATAGTAACCAAATAAGCTGTCTGGAAATACGATTGAGATAACAGGATAATCAAAAAACGAAACCTAATTCTGCATATTTAAGCATATAGAAAAAACTGAGGTAAAGAAAATAGATTTGAAACAATCAATCCAAAACAGATCAGCACACAGGTTGGTTGGCATCGAGGTACTGGAATGAATAGGAAAAAGCACACATGCAATACAATATACGAAGTATATGGGTAAGAGAAATACCAGATGCAGTAGCCATGGTTGCCGATAGATATACGAAACCCTAGCTGAGACGGCGTGAATTGCCGATAGATATACGAGACCCTAGCCGATGAAATGGGACGACAACCTTAACGCCGCTTTCCCACCTCAGGGATGCTATGACTATGCCCTTGCAGTATCACGCTTCGTGTCGCAAAGAGATTGTGGATTACTGCTTCGTTTCTTCTTCCACGGATAGGAGACTGGTTTTCTCCTCCAATATACTCCGTATTATCTACAATTTTGTAAAATACAAAAAAATGACTATTTTTTTATTTTTCCGAAAAATATAACTAATCTTTTGTTTAATTTATTCATCTTTTTTATTGTGATTTGTTTTAAATGTCAGCCCTAGAGATGACAATTTCGGTCGACTCGTTGGATATCCTACCGGACCGATTTGGTCAAACTGGGGAATGGGTATGGGTATGGGGTGGGGAATACCCGAATTTTTTAAATGGTTAATGTTGCGGTTATGGTGCGGGTACCCGTACCGTTACCCGATCTAGAACATTATTAATGAATTATAACTTTTTATATATAAGAATAATAAGTATATATGCTAAATTGTGTATACTAAATAGTATATATCATATAAATAATGCTAAAAAGTATACTACTTTTTAGGCTTAAAACTAAATATAAGCCTAAACCTGTTTTTGGAATTTGGATTCTGGGATGATTACTACCTTTTTATTATGTTACAAAAGATATTAGGTGCATGTCATACTAATGGATTTAGGTCAGTCTGCTTGATTGCTTAAATATTTATTTTTGTATGTTTTAGGGTGCTTTGAATATATAAATAACAAGTAGGATTAGAAATTGGTTATTTGTTTTCCAAAAAATGGTAATTTGGCATCATTTGGGGAAACGGTTACCCGTGGATAAACCGATTCCCCGTTGGAGCGGGTACAGTTCAAATAAAAATTACCCTAACGGGTAATGGGGCGGTTTTGGGGCAAACATTTGTCCAACGGGGCGGTTTCGGTTTTATGTGTACCCGTCCCCGATCCGCCCCGTTGCCATCACTACTTAGTCCCAACCCCTTCCCCCACATCTACCCCCGAACCGCCGCCGGAAAAGTCAATGGAATTTTATGATGACTTTTCTACATTTTTCATTTTTCAAAACAAACGCCGCAAAAAGTCTATCAAAAAATCTTCCAACTGTCATAGTGACATGTTTCACAACGGTAGTGACATACAATCGGGTCTGAACACTACATTCCCATTCGGACCCTACCCATTGACAAGCTCACAAGCCTTTCTGGCAATGGCTATTGACCGACTTTGATCACTGATCGAGAGCTGTCACGGGTGCATGTGACCAGGGGCGGATCTAGCATTTGCGTTGAGGTGGGGCCAAATTTTAATTAGCGATACGTAATTTATTTTGCAAAAAATGTTAAAATTACAAGATTTAGTTATATAATTTTACAGAAGTGTCAAAGAAAAAATAATAAATATTACAAAACCAAAAATTTAATTATCTTAAAAGAGTCATAGATATCTAACCGAAATTGGCTTGTTTCGGTTAATGACGTGTTCAATACCAATTTTCAAATTGATTTCTCGAAAATCAATTTTCTTTTGACTCCATAGTCTATGCTCTATGTAAAAAAGTAAACTAATTAAATTTCACTGACCAAGCAGAATGAATTAAACTTATTAACTTTTCAAATCAATATTCAATTGTCCAATGATGTGAACTAATTAATTTTTAGACTAATATTGGAAATTATAATGAATCGAATCAATTAATTTTTCAAGCTAATATTCAAAAGCCAAATGATTTGAACTATATATATTTTGCAGACCAATTACCAAAAGCCCAACAATTTGGACAGTGATTTAAAAAATTTACTCATGTTACATTGAAAAATTATAAATATGGTGCCCAGGGGACTTGAACCTGACTCCTTTTGTTGCATAATTAGTGTGCTTCCATTGGACCAACTTGATTGATGTTAACAAATTGACATTAGCTTTTTATATATCATAACTACTAACACATTATATATTAATATATACATAGTATATATATACAAATAATTATATTTTTTTGAGCATGGGCCTAGGCCCACCCTGGCCATGGGCCAGATCCGCCCCTGCATGTGACCATGGTCAGTGCGTAGTAGTCACTTTAGTTTACGTGATATAAAAGTTGCACGAGTCTCTTTTTTTCGTTTTTTTTAAAACCGATCTTCATTTTGTTTATAGTTTATTGTTGAGAGAATTCCTAGATATGAGTAAAAATGTTTTGAAATTCCAAAATATGACTATCATGTTTTTATTCTCTGAATATGAGTACATTTGTCTCAAGTTTGGCATTACTGGGCTTTCAACATGACATTTTTTTTCAAACTTGGGAGAATTACTCTCGTTTAGGGAATAAGAACATGAAAACCTTCTTTTGGAATTTCAAAACGTTTTTGTTCCTATTTGAAAATTTCTATTTATTATTTGGGAAAGTTCCCGAAAAAGGACCAAAACGGTTTGAAAATTTCAAAATAGAACTGTCATGTTTTTAATTCTAAAAATATGAGTAATTACTGTCAAGTTTGGAAAATACTGTTATATTCTTGCTTCTTCTCTTCCCATCCAAAGTATTTTCAATCTTCCAAACTTCAGTGTTTCCTTTTCGTCAAACTCCCAAACGTGCCCTTGGAAACTTCTCATAATATCATGCAAGCACCCGACCGGCTAAGAGCATCTCCAATGGGGTAGTGGATTGGAGTAAAGTCTATCCTATGTGGCATAGGAGAGAGATAGAGATAGGATGATTATTTTAATTTAATATGGAGAAAGTGGTGTGTATGAAAAAATGAAAAGGAAGAGAGAGATAGGAGTAAATTGTAGACAATGTCTATGACAATGTCCACAAATAGACATTACACGGGAATCGATGAGCAAAAGTGGATGAAAAGTGGGTTAGAAGTGATATAAAAAAATGAAAATGAAAATAAATAAGGAGATATGTAGGTCCTACACATAAAATTTGTGAGATAAAAAATGGGATCCAATTGTAAGAGTGTGTAAGAGAATAGACATCCCCATTGGAATTGGAGATGCTCTAAGCTCATCAAGGACCCAACTGCCACGACAAACTCGTACCATTTCGGTACACTAACTCAAGAGCACACCTTCCAGATGTTTGTCAAAATTCCCAAGTGAATGTTTCCCCGCAGGTACTTAATCTGCATGCTGCAGCCGTGCAGCGTGCTCAATAATGCGACATGTTTTTATCAAACTGGATGGCTAATTATCAATCCACCAGCCGTTTCTTCAACAACATTGGTCAGTACTCTTAACTCCATGCCTGTTCTAATCACTAGCTCATCTTTTCAATTTATGCCAAAGCAGCTATTCTCTGCGCTCGCGTAGTCGCGTGCATTAGTTTTCTTGTGCGCGTATGTATGCGAAATTAATCTTTGTTGGTCATGGTGTGAGTTGGATTGGGAATGTTTACAGAACTATAGTGAACCAAATGCATCAATTTTATGGGGTTTCTGTCGATTGAGAATACAATTAAAAAAGAAAGATGATTACTTCCAGACCACTCTCTGCTCCACACGCGCATTGTATGGTTGATCAAAGGATGTGCTCCGCTTTCTCTTTCAAATTTGTTGAAACATGCTTATAAAAGTCATAATTATACTGAATTCACACAACTAGGTCATGATACACATCAGCCATACCATGCTAAAAGATTGAAACTGCCCTAATATTTCTGTGTGACTCTTAACATTCTCATTAGTACTCATTCTGCTCAACCATGTTGATCAGGGTCACTCGCGGACTCGCGGTTCAAAATTCAAATAACTCTAAAAGATTGCATCCGTCTGATTAACTGATCTAACCTGTGATCTGATAAACTCATTTTTCTTTCTGTACTATTTATATATGCATTTCTAGCATAGCCCCCACATAACACCCATTGGTTATTATAGCGTGGATCCTAATTTTTATTGTTTTCTTCATTGTTTGCAGATAGCTGTATTAGGTCCTTGAGAAAACACGAGCCATACCAAAAGAGTGTCTGCAATGTGCTTAGCCGATGCCATTCACAATGGTCAAACAAAGAGAAGTTAGGAAGTAAAGGTGTTGGAGTGGAGAGTGAAGCATCAAAACCTAAAGGCAGAAACACTGATCTTGAGTCCAGGTGCAACACTTACCATCTTGAAAATGATAATTATACTATTGAGACTTTAACATTTTCCCATTATTAGCATATGTAGTGTTGAAGGGGAGCCTCGGCGCACCGGTTACGGTGTTGCTGTGTGACCGAGAAGTCATAGGTTCAAGTCTTGGGAGCAGCCTCTTCTCAAAATGATAAGGGAAGTCTTGCTCCTTATACACCCTTGTGGTGGGACCCTCGCCTAGCGGAGATGCCAATATGCACCGGGCTGCCCATTTATTAAACATTTGACGTGGGTTTGCCTTCCATGACCCATGCATATTCTCTTTATTACCAGTTTACCACACATTGTCATTGTAATACATATATGCATGGGTGCTCAATGAAGGTGTCCAGAAAAGTATTACATCGTATCTCTTTATACCAATTTCCTTACTCTCATTAATGGTTCTTGATTTAACATATATCAGCAAAAAGTGGACATTTGAACCTGTTTGGATTTCTAAAGCAATAGAGTCTGCATTTCAACTATGTAAGTACCGGCTTTAACTTCTGGTCTGCTACTGTTATGGGTGAAAACACATTTATAATGTTTGAGGTGGGAGATATAAGATCAGTTAGATAAGGCAGAATTAAGCACTTTAGTGGATATAATTGTTTTATTTCCTTTGAAATTTGAGTGAGCACTTCATCATATTTTAACAGTACAAGAATGTTCGGATCACCACAATCATAGGGTATATTTCCTCGATTGTAGTATTAATATACTCTGTATATAAACATATAAATAGAAAAGGATCATCAAGTATCACTAAAGATCAAATAAGTTTATTTAGTTAATTAGTTTTGGCCTATCTATCATTTCCCTGTACATGTTCTTACCTTCTAATATTTCCTCCATGAAGGGGAGCCTTGGTGCACCGGTTACGGTGTTGCTCTGTGACTGAAAGGTCACGGGTTCAAATCTGGGGAGCAGCTTCTTGTAAAAAATGACAAGGGAAGACTTGCTCGTTATACAACCTTGTGGTGGGACCCTCTCCTTGCGGGATGCCAATGTGCACCAGGCTGCCCCCCTTTATTCTTGGGATTCTATATGGATTGTAATTGACTGACCTCTTTTGCTTTCCTTTGTGTTTAACTATATACATCTTTAGAAGTCAAACAATCTTAATCACAATCTAACAATGTTTATTATTACACATTCCTCAATCCTGAATGCTGCCTTTTGGGTTTCTAAAGTGATTCTGTATTTGTAATTTAAAATTGGCTCCTACAGAATTGATTCTATTAATTTCTGATCTTTTTTTGGGTGGGAATGGAATGTGTGTAAGGGAATGGAATCGGAGACAAACCGCCACCCATCAATATGTCTCTTACAGAGATTTACGCTAGCATTCAGCGGAGCAAGCTGGGTCTTCAAGACTGGAGTCTTAGTGATCTTACCATAGGCCTTTATCTTATATATCTCCAACAAGCATCCACCAAGCCTCTCGAGGATATAAAGGGTGAACAGATATCTTCTGAACGAATTGTAATTTCAAACTCCTTATCATCTTTCATTTTACATTCATTTTGGTTTTAACCTCAGCTTATTCAGCTATTCTACTCATAAGCCGAATAAGAAACTAATGGCTTACTTATTTGGCTGGAATTGGTGTTACCAAAAACTTTTCCTTACAGAAGATTCAGCCATTTCAGCCAATAACGCTTAACCAAACAATCTCTTAATAATCTTGTTTTATTAGGTCCATGATCTTAAGTACCACAGTGAACTAGCAAAGGGTGCATACAGAGATAGTACTGCTTGCCTGGCAAGGAACACTATGCTTAGAGAAATTGATATTGTGAAATTCATAAAAGTCTCAAGCTTGTTAAGGCCTGGATATTACATTGCAGTTGACAAGAGAAGAAGACTGGTCATTCTGGGAATCCGTGGAACAGATACAATTTATGACATCATAACCGATATTGTTTCATCAAGTAATGAAGAAATCACATTGGAAGGCTACTCAACACATTTTGGGAGTGCTGAGGCTGCTCGTTGGTTTCTTACTCATGAGATGGAAACTCTAAGGAAATGCCTTCAGAAACACAAGGTGATCCAAATATCACTTTATTTTTTTGCAAAATGAATGGTGTTCCTTCCATCCCTGCCTACTCTCCCACTCCTCCAAATGAGTCGTATTTAAAAAAAAAAGCTAATTTTAATGTTATTTTCCAAAAAAGAGTTAGATACAAGTTAAATATGGTAAGTTTATTTAAACTGATGATCAATTTTTACAAATATAAGCCTGATATCGTGATTTTAACTTTATATCTTGCCAAAACATAAAAACTGTACATTGAACAAATATGGCTTTTTTTGGCTGTAGGTAGGAAATGATACTACCGACACTCCTGTATAAAATCCTAATTTGACTTTTTTGCTCTTTGACTTCTTAAGCTTCCATCATACTACTTGATGGAAGAAAATACGTAGTATATTGGTAGAGGGATATTAAATGAAGGTAGGAATGTAAATGAACCACTTTAATCAAACAAAAAAGATGACTTTATATGGGGATGGGCAGAAAAGGAAAATAGGAACGATGTTCAGGGACTGAGGCAATGAGGGGTGTATTTTTTATTTAAAACGAGACAAAGTAGTCAGCCTAGTTTATGTTCGCATTTTTTACTTATTTAGTTATTTGCACAACTTTTTACTGAGACTAATCCATATACAGGGGTTTAGGATAAGGCTGGTCGGTCATTCTCTTGGGGGTTCAATAGCATCCTTGTTGGCAATAATGCTCCATAAGAAATCACAGCAGGAGCTTGGATTCGACCCTGATATTGTAACCGCAGTTGGAATTGCAACCCCACCTTGCGTCTCCAGAGATCTTGCTGAAAAGTGTCATGAGTATGTTGTAACCGTGGTTATGCAGGTCAGTATGAGTGGTGGCAATTTTGGTTTTAGCTGTTCTTATTCCAATAAAATTTGTTAAAACCATATTCTTAAGCATTTTCGAAATACAATACATTGGGTGCAGGATGACATTATTCCGAGGCTAAGTGTTGCTTCTCTTACAAGGCTGCGGAATGAAATTATTCAAACTGATTGGTGAGAAACAGTTAGGTTGCAGAGACACTAATCATTCATGGGAGTACTTGAGATAATCTATAGGCTGTAGAGTATAAATTTTTGTGCCATGAATACTTCTCTGCTGCAGGTTGAGGCTTACAATATGTTATGCAAGGAAAAGCTTCATCTAAGTTCTGTTTGGGTGAAGGGTTTTGGAGGGCAGAGTCCATCCAGTGCCGGTCCTACCTAAATTCGGGCCTGAGTCAAGCTTCATAAAATGGGCCCTGTGCCTAGTATTTTTATTCATTAAATTTTAATGATTAAATATCACAAAACCGCAATTCTTAAATAAAAGTCTTACACCGTAACAATGTAATGTTACAGTTTATAAAAGTCTTACACTTTAACAATGTAATGTTACAGTTTATAAAAGTCTTACACTTTAACAATGTAATGTTACGTTTTGTGAGTATGTACTTTCCGAAGTGGCTGTTTTATTCGAAATCAAGTTCTTATTAATGTCTCCCGCCTGACTTTGAGTTAATGATTCAATACGTGATTTCCTTTTCCTCTTTTGAAATCATTAAAATATATAATTTATTGAAATCCTTAGCAATATATACTAGTAATTTTCTCTACAATTCTCCAAATACAAAATATATAATTTGATTAATTGTGAATTGAGAATTCCATAATTGCAATATTGATAAACCTAAATAAAAAAAAAACAATGAACTAGCATTTAAAAATTTACATATTAACACATAACACATTCACACATGAAAAATAAATTAATCAATTATACATCACATTTAATATTTAGCAAATCAATATAAAGTTAGAAAATTTCTGAAAATACATAGGTATAGGTATAGTAAAGTAAGAAAAAATGGGCCCCTAATTTTTTCAGTTTTTTGGGCCCTGAGGCTTGGGCCTCTCCAGCCTTACATAAGGCACGGGCCTGAGTCCATCCTTCATATGCAATTGAGATTTTAAAAAAATTGATGGAATAACATAATAACTGATCATATAACATATCAATCACCATTTTATTTGTTTCTTTAAACACTGTAGTTAGAAAGTATTTAGGTCCCACTCTTGTTAGGTCATTTTCTCTTTTGATCCTTAGACTTTCTTTCTTTTCATTTTTGGTACACCACTATTAATTCTTGCCACTTCTGATCACTCATTTGGCCATTTTTTGTACAACTCCGGTTGATTTTTGCAGGATAAGTGATTGGTAGGATCACAAGTGCTTAGAAAGTGAAAAGTCCATAGTCTAAAATAGTGAAAGTGACCCAATAACTGCATGACAACAATGCAGTGTTATCTTTACTTTGTTAAGATATAGACTAAAATAATTCAAAGTCTGCCCTCCAAAACCCTGCATCCACACTTACCCTTATACGACCTTTTCACAGCTTTGTAATTTAGGGCTTGTCATAATCTCCTGGGCTTTATTTTTCTAAAACAAATGTCATGAATATGTAAAAACATTAGTCAGATGTGCTGAAAATATGTATTGGCTTTTCCCTCAACTCTGTGCTTTGATGTAGGGGAGATGTGTTTGAAAAGGGTGACTGGAAAGGTGTGGTTGATTTGTTCACAAATGCAAGGCAGGTTGTCTCTTCCATCCATGATGTTGCCCGGAAGCTGGCTGACTATGCCAAGTCCAGAGGCCAAACAGGGCACTCTGGTTAGTCTCAGTCCCCAAATATCTTTCCAATTGATTTTCTTAAATTTATACACCGTTGTGGTGGGACCCTTCCCTGGACTCTCGCCTTGTGAGAATGCCTTCATGCACTGGGCTGCCCTTTTTCCCACCCGCGTGTAAGCGTGTTACTCCTAAGCATGCTCCAATATTAAGCTGAAGTGTTTTCTGATGGTTGTAGTTCTAGTGCCACTTTGGTAGGAGAGTGTATCAGCTCATGAGCTGATCTTGTTTTATGTGCAAACTTATTGTACTTTGTCTTCATTGGCGCAATCGGTTGCTAATGGAAAAACGTAGAGCTGAAATGGACACTGTGTTTGGAAACTCTTCACTAGAGGGGGGGGGGGGGGATAAGAATGATTTTAACTTTTTATTTTCATTTCATATAATCACCTCCTCTTTTTATATTGAGGTTAAATGAGAAAGGAACGGGGAAGTAGATGGGTGCTATTGTATGATGTAGCTCCTTCCTGTTTGTGAAAAAGTCATAAGATTGTTCACGCTTTTAACCATCATACGTACAATGTGAACTTTTTATGTTTGAAAAGTGATAAAAAGATAAATGTTTAAATATAATGATAAAAAGGTAAATTTCATAACAAGCAGTGGTTTTTCCTTCTATTTTGGAGAGGAAAAGGACACAAATAAGGTCTATTTTCCTTTCCATCCTTGGTTTGAGATCTAATTTTCTCTCATTTACAAAAAAAAAAACTTCAAATGTTTTCTATAACGATTATGATTCAGCCCAGCCAACTACAATTTCAGCAATTGCAACCAACTTATATTTCACCAAACAGGCTCTTGTAATTCTGTATTTGACTGAGTGATCAAATATTTACTTGGTAAGTAACTATGGGTTTCAGGTGCTCGTCCGGAAAAGGAAGTCACAACCGCTTCAAGTGTGCCACCTGCCTCCATGTCAGCAAGCAATACCTCTTCACTTGTAAAGCATGAAGATGAACTATTTGTACCCGGGAGCGTATATTATCTAAAGAGGAATAATACCGAAAAGAGAAACCGTGATGATCAATCTATGGAGTTCTTCACGCTCTGGAAAAGACAACCGGGGGAACATTTCCAGAGGATACTCCTCTCCAATAATATTATCTCGGACCACAAATGCGATAGCCATAATTATGCATTGCGGGATGTACTTAAAGGTATCATCCCTGCTAGTACCCCAGACGAAGCCATTTTCAGATAGTTGGTATTCGTTTATGTCGAGAGAAAGACATAATGAGACTGGTATATTCTTACTAGCAAGTCTTAGAAAGTTAGATCATTTATGTATGATGAAATAAAAGATGTGTTGTTGTTTTTTTTGAAAACCAAAGATGTGTTGTTACAAATACAGATTTGTGTTTGTTTTTATACTTAGGTTGCTTAAAATTCTCACAATTAAGTAGCCGCTAGAATTGTACTTTAGTTAATCAAATGAAGTAAAGAATGTGTTGTTGCAAATACAGATTTGTGCTTGTTTTTATAGATGGTTGCTTAAACCTCTCACAATTGATTATCCGTTAAAACTGTTTAGTTAGTCAAATGAACAATCTTAATAATAAGAAAAAGTAAAGTTATACATACACATGAAAAAGTAACGTTATTTTGTCAAACAAATTTATGATTATTATAACAAAAAACTTATCTAGGTAAAGGTAGTATACAGAAGTAGGATACAAAACATTTTGATATACTCATATACATATATTATCAATTTCTCATCATTCTCAGTGCCACAGCTTGAAGGTCTCCCAAGTCAGTCCTCCTACTGCCACTACAGTTGATGTTGTTATTGGTACCATACTGATAATTGTGTTCACCTTCAACGTCTCTTGTAATTGGTAGCTTCATCTTCATTCTTTCTCGTTTCCCCAAACTCATTCCTTCATCGAACAGATCGAAGAAGCTCTGTGGGGAGCCCACTGAATAAGCTGCAGCGGTAGCTGCCACCCCCGCGGTCGTTCCACCTGTGGTATAAACCGGGAACTGGTTTCCTGCATTATTGTTGCATCCCAAGTTGTTGTTACTATGGAGAGCTTGAGCTAGTTGAGCCTTCACTTGCAACAATTGAGCTTGCAAACTCGCCACCTAACCCATATAATTATTAACGCGTCATTGTGCCCAAACGAAAACTAAATTGTATGCTGATTAATTTTGGAAGATGATGATAGTAATAACAATAATACCAACAAAACAGAAATTGTTCTAAATAAGAGTAAACACAAATGTAATATTTTAAATTTGAGTAATATGATTTCCTTCCTACATATGAGTATTTATCGCCAAATTTGAAAAATAATGTCAAATTAATCTTTAATAATGTCAAATTATAGCAATATGATTTCACGATGACAATCATGTACTATATATTTACATGGAAAATGTTGTACTGCTTTTTTGATAAAGTAAGAAAGTTTTAAAATCACGCAAATTTTATGGGTTTTTTACAATAATATTACTAAAATAAAACATATTTACATAAATATGACTATTCATTACTACAATGTAGTGTTGTGGTAACTTAAGCTCAAAACTTGAACATGAATTACTATGATTTCATTACTACTCTAGTTACTAATCATATTTTTGTAAAGCATCTTTATTTTGATCATATTTATGTAATTATTTCAAATTTTATCAAATTTGGTACAAGACAATCTTAATGGAATGGAACGTAAACGAAATATGAAACAATCTCAGTGGGATGGAGGGAGTAATATATAGTACTCCGTAATAGTAATGTGTGTTTGTGTGTCCATGAACTCGTACAGTATATATAGAAATTTGACCATTTTAAAATAGTTTAAGAACTTAATTGAGTGTTCTTTTACTTCAAGGGCTTAATTGATTTTTTGGATATACTTGGAGGGTCAATTTGAAAATTTTTCCTATATTTTAAAAAGCATTTCTTTGAAATGTGGTTAATATTGCTCATCTCATTTTAGGTAGATTCAGTCATTTAAATTTATGTTCTTAATGTCAATATCAGATTATCAGGTGACAGAACAATTATAAAGGTAGTTTAGAGCCCGTTTGGTAACAGGAAAATCGGTTATTTTGGCCGATTCAGCTGAAATTTATGATGTTCTGTTTGAAGTGACTGCATTGGCTGATTCTGCTGATTTAAGAAAAAATATTTTCAAAATATATTTTATTAATGAAATAAAGAAAAAATTATATGTAAAATAGCTAAAATGATCCTTTACAGTAACTTCAGCCGATACAACCAGAAAAGTAACTTCAACTTTACTTTTTCTGCTTATTGCACAATTCAGCGCGCGAAAACAAAAGTTATGTGTTTGATAAGTCGAAAAAACAGTGTTGTCAAACGGACTCTTAGTTGTACTTGTGGGGTTAGTTGTATCATTGTATGTAACTATGTAATGCTCTGACACTGTATATAAACCATAATAAGTGTGCATTTAGAAAAAAACTGACCATACAGCGAGTTATTACTCAAAAAATGCAAAAATTATTTATCATAAAGCTTCCATCACTTTTGCATACGGAGTACAATTTTGTATTATTCCGTGCAATTGTGCAACTATAAGAGCATCTCGAATGCACTTCTTTCAAAAGAGTATAATTTGGACACATCGAACAATTTTGAAAGTGTGAATGAAATTATCTCTTCAATGCATTCTTTCATTAGTTCGGTTAAGTTGACGTGGAACCACGACTTTGAAACCAACTGTTGGATTTCAGAAAGAGTGTTTGACTCATTAAAATAGGGTGGGTAATGGGTGAGCGGTTGACATTACGCATTGGAGATGTCTGTTTACTTTCTTTCGATTAGCATTTTACGTGGATTGAATGCAATCTCTTTATTTGACATTTGACAAAATTTAACTTCTTTTGATAGAAGAGCATTGGAGATGCTCTAACCGTACATAATTAGCTTCTTCCATCGTAAATGTCTATTCGAATAGATTCATCATCTTTATGTTTTGTATTATATATTTATACTAGTATCTTTATCTGTGCTGTGCACGGTATAAAACAACTTTATTATATTTTACTATATGTGTGTGCGGGATAAATAGCTTCTTCCATCGTAAATGACTAAAACAACTTATTTAGTCATTTATAACATTGGTTGATAATGTATATTCTTATTTATTGAGTACGTCTTATTTTTTAACTAATTTTCTAAACAGGTTGACAGTCTATATTATCCAGTTAACTGATCTGATACATGTTTGATCTATGTGTACTTTGCAACTGTCGAATTATGACCTGGTTTGATCTAATATAGTTTAATCTGTTTTATTCCAATATAAGACAATACCAGTCTAATTAAAACAATAAATAAATGTTATGGAGTTTGTGCAATTTTATTATAAGTTATCACTCTGGATTAAGGGAAAAATAATAATTATCTCAAACTTTAAATGTGTGTGAGAAAATATCCCAATTGCATATGCAATATATATAACCCAATTTCGATATATATATATATATATATATATATATATATATATATATATTTTATTTTTTCAACATGACTATGCGGTCTTTAAAAATATAAATTTATTGAAATAAGTGCATACTTTTAAATACTCTAAAAAAATTTATATAATTTTTTAAAACGTAGATGTTTTTAAAGTGTTAAATTATTTTTTATTTTTGTATATTCAATATTAGTGTCATTTGAAAGATAATAAAAAGTTATGAATTTTAGGATAGTTTTTATTACAATTAGAGTACAAAAGAAAAAGTTATAATAGTTTGAAAAAACATGAGATTTTTTTTGTGGAGTCCTAAATAATAGGAGTTGTACATAACATTGCTATAATTCCCATATGAAATAGGTATTGAAAGTTTTGTGCATAACATGAGATATTTTTTTGTGCATATCTTTCCTTTAATTTGAAAGTTGATTTTAAAACAATAATTGTGGAGTTGATATGTGGCAATACTTTCCCTAATTGTAGCCTTCAAATGCATTATCTGATCTATAGATATACTCCGTATAGTATAGTGTGTTGTTAAAATGCAACCTACCTAGCTAGAACACTACAAAAAAAACAAGATTCATGAGAATTTTTTGTAGGGATCACCAAAATTCATAGAGGATTTGACATGAATATGCCTAATTTGTATCAAAAACATTTTGACACGAGATATTTGACATGAAGTCATCGATCAATTCGTGTCAAATCCGTGTCAATCTCGTAATTTTTTGTATGGATCACTGGTGAGTCAATCTTGTATGTATTAATGTATAGTGTATGTTGCTAAAATGCAAGCAAAAAAATTAGCATAGTAATGCCGATTCAATACCCTCTTTATAAGTAAGGATTCAGAGGTACGATCCTAGATCAGAACAGATCTCGTTCAAGTAAGGTCGTACGATTGAATACATTTTCATATAACTCTAACACCCTTAGCTTCATCCTTGAGCACCAACGCTGTACGCAGTGGCGGATGTCTTCTATATATGCAAAGGTGTTCATGTGAACACCCAAAAATATAAAATCAATGGGAATATATGTGCATGAACTAAATTAATAGATCATTTATTAGTATTGTAAGGAGAAAATGTGTAATTTTGAACACCCAAAATATGAATACTAGATCCGCCACTGGCTGTACGTTATTTAGATCGTATATTAATAGGCGCTTCACTATCATAAGCTCACAGCGGGTTGCGTGATTGGTCATTTAATATAATGTTGACTCCATAGACAGTCATCAACAATATCTACTGTTAACGCCCATAGACGACAGTCATCAAACAATACTTATTGTTCAAACTTTTCTGGTGTGAGACATTTAACATTTACTTTTGAGATATACTTTCAATATTTATTTTACTAAAACAATATAAAAAACGGTAACATGAAGTTACATATGAATGGTGTATCTAGGGCCACAAGGGCATGCACACTTGACTTGGGTTAACTATTAAACAACCCATATCTATGCAATTTAAGTGGATAACCGTATTTGAATGAAAGAGCATGGTTGAGTATAAAAAAACAATAACTTAAGTCTTTAATATGACCCACTAATGTCTAATGTAGTCAAGTTTAATTAAGCTCAACCAACCTACGACCCAAATCATCCATTGCATACCAATAACAAAGGAAAAAAAAGATTTTTCTTACAAGTCTAACCTTTGTGTAACAACATCTAAAATCCTGGCCTTTTATAAAGGATTTTTCTTTAGAAGAAAATGTAATAAAGCAAATAGACAAAATGCTAAATGTTTATAACTTTAATTTTAAGTATAGCGTAGCAGTCTTAAACAAGAAATAGTCCAACAAAACATTGTAGTAAAGTAATAAGAAAATAAAGAAGGAAAATATTTCAAACTTCTAAGAGTGAAAATTGAAGGGAATACATCGAAGAGGAGCAAAGGTACTCTTATATCGGTTGGGTCGGGTAACATCCGTTTTGAGGCTCCTACCGGTTGGGTCGGGTAACATCCGTTTTGAGGCTCCTACTTTCCGTAACTCTACCCATTACGTGCGGGTTCATATAAATTTAGCGTGTAATTGATATTTTAGGACAAATAACTTGATAAAAAAGTAAGAACTCGGAAGGAGTAGGATTGGTCGGGCCGTGAGTAGGGGATATGTTTGTGCAGCCCTAGGCTTATAGTAACAAAAAAAATTATTTGTATGGTTGGTAAATATAATTTTTATTATAATATTTTACACAATTTTTTAGAACACAAATATAAAGATTTTACAAATTTGTAGTAAAAAGGACCCCTTAATTACACTCGTGAACATAAGTAAGGTAAAATCCAAAATGCGCCATATGTTATGTTGGTGATGTAAAGATTTTTTTTAAAATGTAAACGATAAAAATGACCAAAATACAAGGACATTCTAATAGCACATTATTCTTGCTTTTTGAAGAACAAAATTGTTTACAATCAACACTCGCCAAGTCGCCAACTTTTTTTTAACGAGGTAATATATGCAACCTAATTAATTATTAATAATCTATCATCCGACATGCTTAATTATTAATTGTATTCTTTTTTCATCAACTTCAGTTTGAAGATATTTTGTATTTCAACTAAATAAATGATTAAATGTACGTCTTTAGACCCTAGACAAATGTCTTGGGTACCTTGGTCACTATGGCCCGCTGGCATAGTGGCATAGGCATGCACACATCACATACACTCTAAACCAAGTGAAAATGTTTAAAGAGATCACTAAAATAAGAGTATTTATTATTTTTTCAAAATAATGAAAACATAGACTTACCAAAAATTGCCGCAACTGAATGAGTCATATTTTGAAAAGAAAATAGTGATAATGTTACTTAAAATTCAAAAATTGCCGCAATTTTTTGTGGGTACATGGATTATAATACATAGTGATTCTTTACCACGTCCTAATTCGAGGTTTGCGTTTCTATTAAACAATTAGGATTAGGATGTTTTCTTTTGGACCATTTTCGGTCCCAGACCAGATCAGACTAGATCAGACCAGAGCAGACCATCAAATTTCAGTCAAAAAGAAAACATCCTTAATCTGGTTGTCATATCCGTGAAGTCTAATTATCCATATTAACAATTAAGCTAAGTGCTCTAAAAGGTGTGAGAACTGAGGCGTGGCAAGGGCAAGGCCAAGGCCAAGGCTCAAGTCTTTGAAGCCTAGGCCAAAATAAGCAAAACTTAGTTGTGAAAAGACGTGTTAGATTTCTAGTGATAATTAATTACCATGGAGTAATTGATATTGATATATTAAGAAAATAATAATAATAAATGTCGAAAAATAATACTCCATATGTTAAAGTTGAACTTAATGTGTACTTTGTTCAATATATAATATTTAAATGTAGAAAATGTGAAAATATAGAATGACATAATGTTATTAGATTTCATAAATAACTTGTTTATAAAGTTGATGTTTTTAAGATTTAATCACCTTTTTTTGCAAAAAAAATAATTCATGTAAAAAACTTCCGTCTTTTCACGCATAGGTCTTGCCTTTCGCGCTTAGGCTTACACTTTCACACTTTTGGTGGTCAACTCTTTAGTTGATCACTGCCTTTTCCACGTCAGTCTACTATGCAATGTGTTTTCCAGCCGCCTCACACCTAGGTACACGTAGGTTCTGCCTTTTTCCGCCTCATAGAACACTGATATTAACTTAAGTATCATCAAATATTTGAAGGACACTGTTCTAAAAGGCGTTAGGAGCAATATCGTACCTATAATTCAATCTTCTATTCAACTTCCTTCAATTCTTGTCTCACTTTGACTTTCATTTGCTCAATTGTCTTCTTCTGCTCATTTTCTTGAGTCATTTTCTCCAATTATTTTCTTTTTCACACTCTTATTATGTTACTACCTCCGTCCCATTTTATGTGTCTCCTTTGTTTTTGGCACAATTTTTATTAAAGTGATTGAAAATGTAAAATTTGTGGTTAAAATTTGAGTATAGTAAAGTAAAATGTTGTGAACCACATATTTCTTTCCAAAAAGGGAAAGATGATACTTATTTTGGAACAATCCAAAAAGGAAAGTAAGACAAGTAAAATGGGACAGAGAGAGTATTAGTTTTCTAGAATTTTACTCCTTAGTTTGATGGACGGGATAAACGAGACATTGCTCATCTGGTATTGTCCACTCCGTGGCTGCAAACCATCTGAGTAGTATCGGCACTGACCGTTATGTGGGTCACGCCTATCGTTTGAATACGATAGACAAGGGGATAGATTAATGTTGATTAGGTGTTATAGTCGAAGACGCTTATATTGTATTTTTATCAATTTTTTGCATATATCTGATAAGTAATATGTACATAGTAAAACGGTAGTATTGTGTTTGTGTGTATGAAAATACACACACATTAGCATGCATGAATGATAGAATAGTCACATGCAATGATATATGATAACTAATCAATTACCGCATTATGTTATAAATATTAAATAATATAAATTTTAAGTATATATACAAACATATATAGTTTTATCTTAATTTACAAGTATCTTTTCTCGTATTCGTGATTAAAGTTAAATGTACATTTATCTCTTACAAAAATACAAATAAAAATAAAAAAATATTCATTGAATCTGCGCGCCCTAGGCGGCGATTATGCGCTCTAGGCGGGCAACTAGGCACCATAAGCAACCGACTTATTCATCTAGGCGCCATAAGCGTCCAACTAATTTACCTATGCACCAAACCAATACGTCGGTGTGCCTAGACACAAATTGGGGCGTTGGCCACCGCCTAGCATCTAGGTAGAGACTTAAAGAAAGGATACCAACATGAAGCAATACTCCCAAAGTATAACACTTAAATTTCCTCAGAAGAATACTCTAAGATCTTCTTATATATACATATGATAAATTAATAATTTATATTTTTGTGGAAATACCATGGAGTAGCTAGTACGTAGTACAACCGTCGGCTTAATTAAGCTTTTCATTGAAAATGACATTGTTATTTACACAATAATTAAATAAGGTTATCCGAATATATATTTTAAGGTATAGCCAGTAAATTGAATGTGATGATTAAATCGTTTTCTAAAATAGAAATGATAAGTTTTAGGTGTGACATCCAAAAACCGGGATTGAGACAGAGAGATGGACTCGATCCATATCATATATGGATGTATACCTGATGTTGCAAGGCGAGGATGTGGGCGACGCAGCCATAGACGGGATCTTTGATCCTGGCTTGAGCTTCATAATCAATCGACAGAACCGCGTCCCGCCGCTCATCCACACCCACTTGCATTAGCATTTTTGACACGTTACTCGCCCCAAACACCTTATGGATGGCGCCGAACCTCGCCGCCCCGCCTTGCTCCGCCCAAAAGTACGGCGCAAATATGCAGTCCGCCGAGCACTTCCGCCGGAGAAACTTGCATGCTCCGCAAGGCGAGCTAGATCTCCCCGTCCCGGCACCGGCCATTTGCATATACTAGCTCTATATATTTAGCTAAGAAATACGAAGTATATAAGGTTAGAAGCTGCTAATATAGTATAAATGGTGGTAAAAGAGGTACGTTATTTATAAATGCCGCCGGCTTGGGAGCATCCATGGTCAGCGTGTCGGGTTCCAGAGGGACACATCTCTTTTTATAAGTGAAATCTTATATTAATCGGTCAAACAAATTGCTTTCTGCTGCCTTCATCTCTAATAAGCCAATAAGGTCACAAACAATTTAGCTACAACAAATTCATTCAAGCCAACCTTTTTTTATTTTAAATTTAGCAGTGTATGTACTAAATAGTATTCTCACTACGGCTGAGCACGGATCTAAGATTTCTCGTTCCGTATCGAGAACTGTCCTGAACTGTACCAGAACCGAACAAACCGGGAAAATATAATACCGTATCGTACCGGTTTTGTTTAATAATATGGTATCGGTACCGGTTCTTAAGTGACAACCATCTCATAACCGTCCCAAAACCGTATTGAACCAAACGGTTGACTATTAGGTTTGTATTTTAGTTAGGCTTGATTGCACAAAGTTGATTAGTTTCACGTAGACTTTTCAATGGTGCGGTTACTTCTCTTAAATTTTTGTACAGTTACCTACTTATAAATGCTAAAATCTAAAATATTTTTTACTCGCACACTCTCTTGCTCACCTTGGAATTAACTATGATGGTTTTAGAAACTTAACTTCTACCAGTATGGTACCGGCTTCAATTGTTGCTCTTATTAACCTGGACAGAAATGGAATTCCCAATTTTAGACAATAGTTTTGTTCTTACTTTCTTCTATTGTTCTTTCTTTAGCTTTTTGGAAAATTGGGTAAGGTATGGCCCCCTCAATTTTCTTTCCTTAATTTTTGGTAAAGAGGTTTTTGGGTTTTGATCCCCTCTTCTTATGTACTTTCTTCTTTTTAATTAATAATATCTCGGCAAATGTTCCCCGGCAAAAAAAAATTAGAAATCAAATAGTACTGCCGAACCGTACTAAAAATTGGTACGGAGTGTGAAAAGTCTTATATATATTCAGGACGATACCAGTTCTTTGATTTTTAAAAGAATCGCACTTTGGGGCGAGACATATTTTTCTAAATAACCGTCCCGTATCGTCCTATGCTCACCCCTATCTCCCATAGCCCCGGTCCCAACTTAATGTTCTTAATATCCTTTTTTGAACATTCCAACTCCAGGTTCACAATTGTTTTTGGAAAATACAAAGTAGTTAACATTCTTAATCATAAAATATTAAAAATGATACACCTAAAACATCATAGTTGCCCTAAATAGGAGTAAAAACGTTTTGGAATTCCAAAATATGACTGTTATGTTGTTCTTCCTAAAATATAAGTCGTTACTGTCATGATTGAAAAATACTGTCATTAATGACAACAAATATTGTCATGTTAGTTTCTAGTACTGCAACTATTTTGGTAGTAATAACTCCAAGATGATGGTTTGTATTGACATGTTACTCCTATTTCGGTAAGAAAAGCATAGCAATTCTGCTTTGGAATTCCTAAACAGTTTTACTCTTATTTCAGAAATTCTCTCTTGCATTATATACCCATCAAATTATTTTTCAAAATATACTTAAATTATCTTACTTATTTAATTACATACAAAGTATTATCTAAATAACAGTGCCATTTTTGCCATTTATCTTCACTTCGAATCTTAATATGTAGCACTTTATTAGCTCACATTTTATCGGTGTAGGTGGGAAATATTTCAACATCTTTATATATAAAACTGCTCGAAAAGGAAATCTTGTGGGAAATACTTCTATTCTTCTAACATCTTACATCTTAATATATAAAAATGCTCGAAAAGGAAATCGTTATCCACTACCCTCTAAACATTATTATAACGATGTTGTCTGAAATGTTTGCTTTTAAATGTCAAAAGAATGTAGCATCAAAATTATGTCACAACTTATTGCATCTTCTTTGCTACATGTGAAGTGCATGTCGTTGGCATTAGCTGATCGATGCAATATCTAGTAGATCATACAAGTATTACAAGTTAATATGGAGTACAAAACAAATACATTTAATTAACCTTATTTATTAGAGGTAATTCCCTAAATAGGAGTAAAAACGTTTTGAAACTCCAAAATAGGAGTATCATGTTTTTTATTTCTTGAATAGGAGTAATCTGCCAAGTTTGGAAAAAACTGCCATCTTTAAAGCCTTGTAAAACCAAATTTGAAAGAAATTTACTCCTATTCAGGGAATAAAAAACATGATACTTCTATTTTGGAATTTCAAAACATTTTTACTGCTATTTAAGGCAATTTCTGTATTTATTAAAGAAATTTATCTAGATTATGCGTTCTTAAAAGAACTTTAGAACACACTATTACTAGTAATTCATGCGCCTCGACTACTCCCAATATATAAAAAATATAATTAATAAATATTATGATAAATTATTTGACTTTAGAAGCGAGTGTTTTAGATAACCTCAGCTCCATAATATTTAAAAGTTATGAAAATGAATAGAGCTAAATATTTATAGGAGGGACAAATAGCGGAAACAATAATTTAAATAACTAATAATAAAAAACACAAATAAAGTACGTTGAACTAGTAACTATGATTCAAATTTAAGAGGGTAGTGTGGCTAATTATCCTTGAAAAATCAAAATTCTAGCTCAAAGTGTAGCTATATGCGTAGTATAAAGTTTGTTTTTCATAAAATCATAATTTATCACCATAATTTGTCTTTAATTTTATGTGTGCAATAATAGAAATTTCGTAACATTGTAAGTTGTAACAACAAAATAAATAATTACTAGTACGTATTAATGTTTATGTTGCTGTAAACGTACAACTTATACAATTTAGAAAGAAATTAAAGCAGCTTTGGTAAATTAAACGTGTCGAAAAGAGAACGTACCTAGTGCTTTTTTATTAGTACTCACTCAATCCATGATACAACTAGACCAATGACTTGGGGCTCAGTGACGATTTTGACTTTGAAACACGGTGAAGAAAATTTTGCTACTCGTTCTTTGGAATTCCGTACTTCAAGAAAGTAAGCCCATTTATTTTATTTGAAGTCTCTTCTACTTTTGTATGCTTTCATATAGTCATTTCATTGTCTCAGAAGCCAAGAAGCAATATTGGTAATTACATCTACAAACTTATTGCAAAGGAATTACACATATAGGTATTTGTCTCGCACCAAAAAGCTATAAAATAATAAAGAATTATGTAAAACTTTGGATTACTCCTATATATCAAATTGATATTTTGGAATAGAACTTCAAGTCTTAAAAATAACATGGCTTATATATGGAGTAGTTTTCTTTCATTACATAAAGTATTTCCCATAACTCTCCTACCCAAAATGTTTACATGATACATAGCAAAATAACTTCTAAATTGGGGTTTATTAAGGTCACTAGCTTGCCCCGTAACTTTGAGCTTTACCCTTTATTAGTCATATATTTGAGTAGCTTGCAGATTGGTCATATAAGTAATAGATTTTTGTAGGTTAAGGATCTTTTAATTTCACCGAAAAGCACACTTTCCCGCAAAAAAGTATACCATGAAAGACGTCGCAAACATCGAATTTTCTGTTGGAAAGTGTACTTTTCGATGAAAACTCATTAAATCACATAAGTTCATTAGTTACAAGAGCAAATCTTTAAGCGATGTAAAGTTATATGTAGAACTTAAAAAGTATAACCGAAAATTACGGAATTAAAATTCCAAATCTCTCATATTAAAATAGCAATTTGCAAATCTCTCAAACAAAGACAAAAGTAGCTAGCCGTGCAACACTAGAAGTAGGAGTGTCACTATAACTAACAAGAGCATGTTTGGTAGGAATAAGTCACTACCTTCCGTACTATTTAAAAAGCTTTTAAAAGCTTCTAATTACTACGTATATGTTTGGCATGCCAGCCCAACTGGGTGTGAGGTTATCGTGTCTAGTGGGAGGTCTCGAGTTCGAAACCCGCTAGGCAGATAAGGGTTCGAAACTCAATGAGCTGAGTTTCAGCCCTGATTACTCCAGGCCCCCCAGACTCCCCGGAGTAGAAAATAATAATAATAATGTTTGGCATGCCAAGTTTTAAGAGTTTTTTAAAAATAAAAGATTTTTTTCGAGATGTTACGGTGAGTAGCATCGATCTGAGAAAAGTTTGTAGCTTTCACCATTAATTAGTCCTCCGAGTTTGTATAAGAAATGGAACTAAATCAAACGGTCGGCTTTTTATCAAACTGTTGCTACATTTTCCTTTTAATATCTTTTCAGTCACTAAAAGCTAACATATACGATAGTGCTATATAAAAAAACTCATAAAAATATCTTTGTAACTAGTTGTGCCAAATGACATACCCCTAGTACCCCCTCCATTCCACAATAAGGTTCCCGTTTCGACTTACGATGTTTGATTGGTCATAAAATTAATGGTTTCATGCGAATAATAAGATTTTTTTAGTAAATAAAATTTAAATATTCAGAAGAAAGTTTTATACAATCGACAAACTCAAATTTGATATAAGGAAAATATATCAAGTAAAGATTAACAACAATTTAAGTTAACTAGATGATTACTACACGGAGGTGCTTCTAAATCTATTACTACGTACAATATATAGTCAAGGTAATGTCAACAACTGAGTTTAATATTGAAATCCCAAAAAACGCGAAAACTCAAACTACTCAAAAAAATTAATTTCCGCTTTCCACTAATTTAAGGTAAAAAAAATCATTCTTTGACAATATTTTCTTATGCGAAAACTATAAAATCCAAAAAACGCTTTACAAAAAAAAACATAGAACAACCGAAGCCTTAATAATTAAAAAGCATGTTCAAGTTCTTGATCCTTGTTGCCAGACCAACCCTAAGCTTGATCATTGAGGTTGATGGCGGAGATAAAGAGGGATTAAAAAGATCTCGACAACCTCTAGAAAAACTTATGATGCTCTATATGGACATATAAAATTTATAATCT